TCGCTGGCCGAGGTGGGCTCTGGACAAGCACCTCATCGGTGGGTGGGACAACGACCCCATGCGCGCCGCCGCCGTCTAGGGACGCAGGACGGGTGGACTAGACGCGGCTGTTGAGTGGGAATTAAAACTAAACAAGTTCATTCATTCATACATCTTCTGAGCCATTGCTGACCATTCCCTTTTCTCGCTTCCTTTCCTTCGTCAACTGATTCCTCCTCATCCCCCTCCCCCTCCCCCTCCCCCTGCCTTCTCTGTCTGCCGTTGTGGGAAGAGCGAGCAATCACAATGGCGTCTTCACGAGGCCAGGTTCACACGCCCGGCGAGGCCAGTAAGTCACTCCCCTGAAGCTCCCTGTCGCTATAGCGCTCTGCTGCGCTGTCGCAGCGCCGGTTTTCGCACGCTCGTGTCCAATCAGAGCACCTCTATTTGTCCTCCAGCAATAGTAGCACCCAACAGAGGGCAAGAGCAATCGACCGCAGCAAAAGGATACAGATGTTGTGTGAAAAAGCATCTTGCTGGGTGAAGAGTCACAGCCTTACTGACTGCCCATTGTTCAACAGTCGCGAGAATCGCATATCTTGCGAGCGATGTCGTCGTCTCCGTTCAGCCTTCTCAGGCTAACGACTCAGAGTTCTCGTCGCACCTGAAGCGCTACGAGGCGCGCAAGGGCAAGAGCTTGGTGGCCAAGGGCCCTGGTGCTGTTCCCGAGGTGAGCTCAGGCTGTCTTCTCTCTTTTCCTGTGCCCGTCCATCGGGCGAGGACACTTCATCATGAGGATACTGACAAAGGGCAGATTCACGCTGTCAGGCACAACGCCGACCCTCTCCTCTCCGTCTTCGCCCCCATCCGCGCCGGCAAGCTCGTCTCCGTCACCACGAGCTCCACCACTCTCGTCCCCTCCATCACTCACCTCTACAAGCTGGCCAACTTCCCCGTTGTCATCCACGTCTCTCTTCAGCCTGCCGGCTTCCCCGACTACTCAGCCATCACCGCCATTCGCAATGCCGGATGGACCTTCTTGCAGTCTGAGAGCCTGCAGGAGGCCCAAGATCTGGCCCTGACTGCCCACGCCCTGGCTCTGCGCTCCGGCAAGGGTGTCATCCACTTCTTCGCCACGGCGTCGTCTGACGACGATGAGCCCATTGACGCTGAGGATATTGACGTTGTCAGGGAAGTCCTCGACCTCGACACCGCCCGCAGGTTCCAGTCCAGCGCCGACGCCGGCTCTGGCATCTACGCCGACGACGGCAGGGTCCCTGTGGCCTCAGACCGCTCCGACCTGCCTGCTACCAATGGCTCTGCTGCAGCCGACCTCAGCGCCTCTGTCCACTCCAAGTTCGACTCGGCGCGCGCCTCCGAGCTGTCGAGTCAGCACAGCACCACGAGCAGCCCCCCCTCGGTGACCTCAGCCGCCACCACCATTGAGTCGTCGGCTCCTCCCGTCACCTCTGAGGACATTCTCCGCTACACAAACGCCATCTGGGCCCACATCAAGAGGCTTGTCGGCCGCGAGTACACCCCCTTCTACTACGCTGGTCCCACCAACGCTGAGAACTGCCTGTTCGTCTTTGGCTCGGGCGCCTACTACTTCGGCGATGTCATTGACCAAGCCCGCCGCGGCGGCGACTTCTCCAAGGTCGGCATCATCGCCCCTAGGCTGTACCGCCCCTGGCTCGGTGCCTCCTTTGTCGAGGCCCTCCCCAAGACCGTCAAGAGGATCGCTGTCCTCGAGCAGATTCACAGGAGGACGACCAAGTGGGGACCCGTCCTCGTCGATGTCCTCACGAGCGTCAAGAGCGGGTTTGGTGGTGTCGAGACCATCGTCGGCTACCAGCTTGGCTACATTGACCCCAAAACCGTCACCCAGGCTCTGCGCGGTGTCCTGCAGAACTTGACCTCGGAGAAGCCCATTCAGAACCTCGAGGTTGGGCGCAAGGAGGCCCCCAAGCAGGAGCTCGAGTATGGACTCGAGAAGCCCAAGATTGAGACCGCCTACACCAAGATTCTCGATCAGCTTTTCGGCCAGCGCGTCTACCTCGCCAACGCTCTCAAGTCGAGCACCGCCGGTATCTCCTCGACCATTGTTTCGAGCCCTGAGTTCGGCTTCGGTTCGCTCATCGCCCGCAAGGAACACCGCGCTCGTTTCGTCAACGAGGTCAAGGAGGCTGCCAACAGCAAGGCCTTCATCACCGAATCCCCCAAGAGCTGGCTTGCTCGCTGGGCTAGCAACGCCCACGACGCGAAGGTCGCCGGCGAGGTTGCCGACGATGTCATCTCGCGTCTCGAGACTGACGGCTCCTCTCTGGCCCGTAAACTGCTCGAGGACAAGCGTCTGTTCCGCAAGGAGTCTCTCTGGCTCGTTGGTTCCGATGCCTGGTCGTACGATCTCGGCAATTCTGGTGTCCACCACGTTCTTGCCTCGGGCGAGAATGTCAACATGCTCATCATCGACTCCACTCCCTACTCTGAGCGTGCTGCCGCTGACGCTAACCGCCGCAAGAAGGACATTGGTCTGTACGCCATGAACTTCGGCAACGCCTACGTTGCCTCAACGGCTGTCTACAGCTCTTACACGCAGGTTCTGCAGGCGATGCTTGAGGCCGACCAGTTTGATGGCCCCTCCGTCGTCCTCGCTTACCTGCCGTACTTCGGCGAGCACGAGACCCCCCTCACCGTGCTCCAGGAGACCAAGAAGGCCGTCGATGTCGGCTACTGGCCCCTGTACCGCTGGAACCCGCAGAACGAGGCCAAGGGCGAGCCCAACTTCTCGCTCGACTCGGAGCACATCAAGAACGAGCTCAAGGAGTTCCTCAAGCGCGACAACCAGCTGACGCAGCTCATGAACAAGGACCCCGCCTTTGCCGCCAACCTGGCGCAAGACTTTGGTACCGAGGTTCGCGCCCAGCAGAAGAGGAAGGCCAAGGATGCCTACGACGCCCTTCTCGAGGGTCTCCTCGGCGCTCCCCTGACCGTCCTGTTCGCTTCCGACAACGGCAACGCCACCTCCGTGGCCAAGCGTCTGGCCAACCGTGGCAAGGCCCGCGGTCTCAAGACCCAGGTCATGTCGATGGAGGACTACCCCCTCGAGGATCTTCCTTCAGAGGAGAACATCGTGTTCGTTACCTCGACCGCTGGTCAGGGTGAGTTCCCCCAGGACGGCCATGCCTTCTGGGAATCCATTAAGGACAACACGGAGCTCGACCTCGCCAACGTCAACTACTCCGTCTTTGGTCTCGGTGACAAGCACTACTGGCCCCGCAAGGAGGACAAGATCTACTACAACAAGCCGGCCAAGGACCTCGACCGCGTGCTCAGCAACCTCGGCGGTAAGAGGCTCGCTGATGTCGGCCTTGGTGATGATCAGGACCCTGATGGCTACAAGACGGGCTACCAGGAGTGGGAGCCCAAAATCTGGCAGGCGCTCGGCGTCGACAATGTCGAGGGTCTTCCCGAGGAGCCTGCTCCCATCACCAACGAGGACATCAAGATTGCCTCCAACTTCCTTCGTGGTACCATTGTCGAGGGACTCGCCGACACCTCGACTGGTGCCATCTCGGCCTCTGACCTGCAGCTCACCAAGTTCCACGGCACCTACATGCAGGATGACCGTGACCTTCGCGATGAGCGCAAGGCTCAGGGTCTCGAGCCCGCCTACTCTTTCATGATTCGTTGCCGTCTGGACGGTGGTGTCGCGACGCCCCTTCAGTGGGTGCAGATGGACGACATTAGCAACACGCTCGGTAACGAGACGATGAAGCTGACGACGCGCCAGACGTTCCAGTTCCACGGCATCGTCAAGGGCAAGCTCAAGCCTGCCATGCAGGCCATCAACCGCGCTCTCATGACGACTATTGCGGCGTGCGGTGATGTCAACCGTAACATCATGTGCAGCTCGCTCCCCACGCAGTCTGCCTTCCACAAGGAGGTCTGGAAATACTCACAGGTCATCAGCGACCACCTGCTGCCTCAGACCACGGCCTACCACGAGATTTGGCTCACGGACGACGACAACAAGAAGACCCAGGTGGCTGGCAACGCCGTGCAGGACTTTGAGCCTCTCTACGGCCCCACCTACCTGCCGCGCAAGTTCAAGATCACCATGGCCATTCCTCCCCACAACGACACGGATGTCTATGCGCACGATATTGGTCTCATCGCCATCAAGGGCAAGGACGGCAAGCTCGCAGGCTTCAACGTGCTCGCCGGTGGTGGCATGGGTACCACGCACAACAACAAGAAGACGTACCCCCAGATCGGTCGCCACCTCGGCTTCTGCACGCCGGATCAGGTCCACATTGCGTGCGAGAAGATCATGCTCGTGCAGCGCGACAACGGTGACCGCAAGAACCGCAAGCACGCGCGTCTCAAGTACACCATTGACGACATGGGTGTTGATGTCTTCCGCGGCAAGGTCGAGGAGCTGTGGGGCCGCAAGTTTGAGAAGCAGCGCCCCTTTGAGTTCAAGAGCAACGTCGACACCTTCGGCTGGCAGAAGGACGAGACTGGTCTCAACCACTTCACCTTCTTCATCGAGAACGGCCGCATCGAGGACACGACGGCGTTCCAGATGAAGACGGGCCTCCGCGAGTTGGCCAAGCTCGGTAAGGGCGAGTTCCGCCTCACGGGCAACCAGCACCTCATCCTCAGCAACATTGCCGACGCGGAGCTCGACGAGATCAAGGCTCTGCTGAAGAAGTTCAAGCTTGACAACCTCCAGTTCTCGTCCCTGCGTCTGAGCTCGTCGGCCTGCGTGGCGTTCCCCACGTGCGGTCTCGCCATGGCTGAGTCCGAGCGCTACCTGCCCGTGCTCATCGACAAGCTCGAGGCGACGCTCGAAGAGGCCGGCCTTAAGCGCGATTCGATTGTCATGCGCATGACGGGCTGCCCCAACGGCTGCGCGCGTCCCTGGCTCGCCGAGGTCGCCTTTGTTGGAAAAGCATTCGGCGCCTACAACATGTACCTGGGTGGTGGATACCACGGCCAGCGCCTCAACAAGCTGTACAGGTCGAGCATCAAGGAGGACGAGATCCTGGCCATCATGAGGCCGCTGCTCAAGCGGTACGCGGCCGAGAGGGAGAAGGGCGAGCGCTTTGGCGACTTCTGCATCCGCGTGGGTGTCATTGTCGCGACCCGTGAGGGCCGCGACTTCCACGACAACGTAAGTAAACCTGTTTGATTTGAAAGCAAAGTGATTGGCGTGCTAACAGATGCAGGTTGCCGAGGAAGAGTCTGACGAGGAGTAAGAGAGACGACACATGGGGATGAATTGCATAGGTACGGAAGGAAGGATGTCGGGATAGAGGGAGCGGTGGGAAAAAACTAAAAGAGTGTATGACTATATATCCCCCCCATCTGCTTGCGAGGTGTCTTTTTTTCTACATCTTTTGGCGTTTTTCTTTTTTACGGCTGTCGTGGCGGACGAGGGGCATGCGCGTATTCTTGGTTTCATGTTTGATATGCCTCGTCGTCTTTTTCCATGGATCTATTTAACTAGGATCTGAATTCTTGCGAAAGATTGGTTCAACCCAGATGGCTGATGTGCGACTTGACGCGCTGTGATGTTCCTTAAGAGGTGACTCTATGATCATTGTGCTGTGGTCTGACTGAGTTGTTAGGCGTAGCACTACCATTAGCGTAGCTTGATTTTGGTTGTGAAGTGGTGTTTCCCTTGCTCTGCCCGTGATGTACCGGCTCCACGAGACCTTATAGTTCACTCATTACGTTCGCACATGTTTATACATCTCACGATGAGTCGAGGGTGCTGGCCATGTTTGGCTGTCCATTACACCTCCGGATAACGTACCCTTAGCATCATCCTGGACAGCCCACAGAGTCCACACACCTCGTGCGAGCCCCATGCGTGCCAGCGAAGACTGACTTGGGTGTGGCATACGAGGGCGCGTCGCCGGCCTCGATGTCCTTGTCTTTGGCCATTGTGGGCCTAAGCCGAGGAGCACGGTGCCGCGGGCGCCGGGGTAGGCACCGCTGGCCGGCTTGCCATTGCCGCTGCGTGATGTTCATGTCCTTCTGGCACACTAGGCACGGATGGGGCGTGGCGACGCAGGGTCGCCTTGGTGTCAGCCTGTCGAAAGGGGCGAATGGGAAATGCCGTGGAGAGACTGCTGCAGAAGCTGCATGTACTTGACATACAAGTGATCATCGAAGTCTCGGGTGCGACCGGTAAACATCGTGGCGAAGGTCCGACAGGGGTCGGATTGAGCCTTGTCAGCTCATGTGTGCCGGGTCAGTTGGCTGTGAACAGCCGCCCAGCGCGCTCTGGACCGAGACCGCAGGCAAGCCCTCCTGGCTGAGCCGCTCGAGACTCGTTGGCAGGGAATTTTCCGTGCTACGTACAACTATCTCGCAGAATCGACGGCTGCTTCATGAAATAGACAGTCAGAGCTACGGCCGTGGCTCTCACTAACAGCGGTAGTCGATCAGCCCGATGGACTTTCCTTTTTGTGTCATCAAAAGCTGCAGAGGCACGGCTCAAAGACGTGGGTGGTTGGCCTCGTTCTTCGCAGGATCCCCTTATTACTGGCGATGGTGGCAGCTATAACCTTGAGCATTTTGACGCCGACGTCAATTTCGACGACAATGGACGTAGTGATGTCACAGCACTTGCAAAATCTGCAGCCGCCAGGCTATAGGTACGCGATTCTCAGCTTTGCACATACCAAGGGAATGGGAGCCCTCCCCCGCCAGCAGGAACAGGTTCTGGTACGTCTGACGTGGCGCGGGCTGTCTTCCTGGGGATTAGAATCACATGCTGGAACAAGTCGTCCAACCAGCGCCGTTGCTAGCCTGACGACTGGATCAGCCTGTGTCGAGAAGATTCCACAGTATTCGATGCGGACGATAATGGCGGTTATGTGAAGCACCGTAGATCGAAATGATTGACCGGCTCAAGGTACTTAGGGGAGGAACCATTTGGACGATTTATTCCAGCTCGACGTCTTGCTACAAGTGATTTGAAGAATATAGCTTCTATATATGTCCTTGGCTGTTCTCTGCTGGTCTTACACTTGCGATTTGGCCATGCTGCTCGTGCTTTGCTTTGTGTCCCAATCACTGGTTCTGCCTTCTTAAGACACGGCTATGCCTTGAAGAAAGCCTGGCTAATATGGTGCCATCATACATCACTTTGGCGGTTGCGTAGTGCCTCGCCCATGCAAGCCATTGCCATTGTCAAGCGTGGTAGCACAACATTAGTGTTAATGCCCGACGAAGGCTATGGCAGAGCACCTTGAGTGTCTGCCTGGAAGACCTTCTTCCGTGTTCCCTCCTTCCCCCCTTGCTTTTCAATTTGCTTGTTCCTTCACCTCTTTCCCCAGCCAAAAGACTAAACCACCTATGTCGCTCGCCATCGTATTTTCCCATGTCCACCAACATAACCCGTGATTATCTCAAGATCAACTGCTAGTCTGCTTCCGCTTCTTCATCATGTCTTTTGGGTTCTCCGTCGGCGACTTCTTGAGCGCCATTGCTGTCGTGGTGAAACTGACCAAAAGCCTCAATGAATTGACTGGTTCAAAGGCAGAGTACCAACAGCTTATCCTCCAACTCAAAACCTTACACAGCGCCATGGATTCTATTCAATCAGCCTGCCGAAAACGCCCAGGACAGGGGCTTGAGTCTGTGGCGGTCATAGCGAGCACTATAACCACCATACTGACTGATTTTCTGGAGACTTTGAACAAGTATGAAGGGACACTAGGGGACCAACCTCGAAGCAACAAAGCGAAAGTGGTGATTCACAAGATGACTTGGACAAGCAAGGATGCAGATATCGCCAAGTTACATAACTGCATTCAAGGTTACAACAGCACCCTCAATACCCTTATGTTGCAGTTTCACATCGATGCGATCGACGTCGAAGACAAAAAGAGAGACGAGCATTACGCCAAGGAGGAGGCATTCAGGCAAAGGGCGCAGGATTGGGCATTACAGGCGTCCCACAACGCAACGACGCAGAACAAGACGATCAACAACGCTTGTTCCATGGTGAGAGTTGTATTTACCACAGTCTGCCGAGATGTAAAGTGGACGCTCGGGAATGTCGCCGAGGCCACGCAGCATACTTTGTAAGCCTTCTCTGAAGCGCGGACCAGGTGGCGATTGCCGACTAACTCCGAAAGGCATTTAGTGACAGAGATACATGCTGCTCTGATGGTCGCGAGGGGCAACAATGGATGGTTGAACCCGAAATTCTCGAATTTCCAGGAGCCAGTCAGGGTAGAAGACGCTTTCGGAAGGTCCTTCCCCTTGGGCTCGGAGCTAAGCGTCAGCGATCTCTTCGCGATAGTCTACAACCGCTTCAAAGAGGGCCCCGGCTCTGGACATATTGCAAGTGGTCAATTTGCGTTACTCGATTCGGGAAACACAAGTCACGTTCTGCATGACACGCCCGGAGCCCAACTTATACCAGGAATGTGCGTCATTATGTTGATCAAGCTAAGCACTGAAAACTACAGCAACAATCATTGTCCAGTGGCAGATTGTCGCTCCGAAAGAATCATCGTCTTGAAGGGCGGGGGCAGGCAATGGTATGACTGAAATCCGCATCGATCAATCAAGGCAACTAACAAATGTCAGTTCCAATTGTGGACTTTTCTTTCACGAGTCGAACTCGGACGTTGCTGTTGCCGAACTTCAGCACAATGACCCTACATCATCTTCTGGAGATAGCAATACAGAGGTGAAAGGCTCAATAGATCATCTTTTCAAAAACATTCTGTGTCAAAAGGTGCAGTCGAAGGTGCAACTCAAGATGCAAACAAAACAAGCTCCATCAATATCCGAACATGGTATGCTGTATCCCATTCTCCTGACTGTATATACTGCAAGACAAGGGGCGGTTCTTATTCACACACGTACAAATGGCTCAGATCACGAACAGTATTTTGTGAAGAAGACTCATAGTTATTGGCATATGCGTAAGTACTTACTCTATCTAGGGTAGACAAACTTGGCGAATGTGCTATTGACTGAAGCAGGGAAACTGCGACCAAGGGGAGATAGTTAAGCGGTAGATACGACTTTGCGTGTCCATACTGTATACATACCTCTAGGAGGTAATGAGGAGAGTAAAGAAGTCTTCTGCAGATTATATCCGCAGTAAATTATCTAGGGGGCATGAACACGGCTAAAATCTAGCCCTTCGCAGCTCTTACATACGTCCCTTCTCGTAGTCTTTAGCCCCTAAACTAAGTCTCGTGGCTCCGCAGATGCCCCCTGGCACTTGGTGGCGAGACAGATCCACTGAAGAAGGCACAGAGAGTCCGCACCTGCCTTCCGGACAAGTTCCTTACATACTTGGATCCTTGAGCTTCTCGGGAACATAATTGTTCTCCGCTTCTATCGTTACCAGCTTATTGCCTTCAAGGACCAGGTTCAGAATTGGCTTCACTACTAGTTGCGCCCATAAGAAAACGACCTGTGCCCGTTCGGCGATGTTTCAGGGATTTGGAACGAGTTTTGATGTTGAACGCCGACGGGTTGTTATACACAATGGTTCCTACAGCCTGGCAGTTTTCCCCCTTTGCGCACATCTCAATACCAAGCGGCGTCTTTTGCAGTTCAGCACCACGACCGCAGAAGGAGAATGGAAGGCCCACAGCACCCTCGCGGTTACTCATGGTTATGACGATGTCTGTCAGGACATGCCGCAACACCACCGACTTTCCCTGCGCCGGGTTTTCCCTTAACCCAGAGCAGGCCTCGATCAGACGAGGTCCAGTGGTTCTAGGACTGAAGTCGAAACAGCCACTCGCATGTGTCATCGGCAGCAGGATCGATTTCTCTGGGTTGGTAGTGCATTTCTGGGAAAGCCAGCGGTTCGGGTCTCTGGGCGTCTTCGGCCTCTGGTCAACTGGAAGACGGTGAGCTGCGAATCGATGGATTGCCGACGATATGTGATTTCATACCAATGGTGGTGGGGCCATTCAAGGAGCCCCAGAAAAGTTATTTCAATTTCCCTTGCTGAAATAGTCATAAGGCGTGTTTGTCGAGCGATTGCGCAGCATGCGACGGCCCAATGTCTGTATGCTCGCCTTGGTACTGCTTGTTGCGAGGCAGCATCCCGTCACGTACTTCAAGGCGTCCTCTCTCCGGAATGGAGCCGTCGCCAGGTCTCTCTGTCGTTCTGGCACGTTGGATCGATGCCGACGGCTAGAGTCGAGGAATTGTAAAGAAGGCTCTCGACAGACGCTCGTGACAGACGCTCGCCAGGTTCGAGGAGCAAGGCCGACAAAGGAGACACGGGGGTGGAAGCGTAGGCAAAACCAGCAGCCATCGGCCATCAGTCACCAAGCGGCCCATTCGTCGAGTTGCTGGACCAAGAGTTGCGGCATGGCCGCGAACGAGTGGTGGTGAATCCACAACACCAGTACATCAACACCAAATAAGACCCAGCGGAGCTATCTTTAAAAGTATTGCAGGTTTATGTAAGGGTTCATGCTATTTATACATAAGTTACAGTACCAGTATTTATCCTGGGGGCGGGCAGCACTAGGCAACATTTGGCGCGGGGTCCCGGCTGGGGTACCCCCAGCACCTCGGAGAGGATTCTACTTACAGATGAGAAGGGAGAAATGAGCTGTTAATGTATCCTATGTCCCATAGCCGGGCGCACTAACTGCGCTACTGCCGAATTACATGTACGATCGAGAGATGACCGATCAGCTGAGTAGATCGCACGTTTCCTCGACAGCGCTCTGCCCAGATACTTTACTCACTCAACTTCAACGACAACCTCTGGAAGCCATCTCCAGGGAAAGCAACTCGGCTGCAACTACCCTCTCCCAGCGATACAGCCCCCCTGCTTGTTCGCATGCCGGCCACCTACATGGGCACGGCTTGCTGACAACTAGGGAGGACATACCACGCCGCCGAGGAACCTTTGGCAAATTCACCCTCGTATTCCAGCCAACAGCAGCTGGAGAACGATTGTGCCAAGCAAGACGGGACGCCAGTATGAGTACCCACGGGGTACCGCTTCCCAGTCGCCAGATGGAACAGACTCCCGACCCCTTCACCAACGGGCCTCGCAGTCACAGTTATCACGCTCAGTGTGGCGAGGACATGTCATATTCGCCCAGTCGCTCCACACATCATCTCACCAACGATGCGTCGCACTACGCAACCGAGGACCCTGCGAGCTACTACCATGAGACCTCTCTAGACTGGACACAGCCGCCGTTAGCTCAAACCACGAGCTTCGCGGACCATGTTCCTGGCAACGATGAGTACTTAGACGAAAACTTCATCAATACCGGCGACGAAATGCCAGTAAACTCATTCAACACCAATGACGACGATTTGTCGCGTCACACAACAGCCATGACACCAGAGCCAGGCGTCCTGCTTCCTCACGTACTGCCCCCACAACCTCTATCATGTGACAGCCTTCCGGGGACGTCAGCCGTTGAAGAAGGAATCTATTCTGCGCCATCCGATGTTTCGGGCCTTTGGGGGTGGGGTGAACCATCCTTCCCAGCTGTGCCGTCTTTTCTGCAGGACGAAGGGCCTTTCAGGGCAACGGCAAACGTCTTGGACGAATCCGCCGTTCACCCCACCCATGACACTGTCGCAGCCTTGGTCCGTCGGCCGAAAGGAGCTGTCCAAAAACGAAGCAATGCACCGCAAAAGGTTTAAACTCACTTCCACCTCAGGTCGCTGAACTAACACACACAGACCCGGCGAAAGAGCATCTTGAAAGCAGATGGCACCACCACCAAGCAACGGGGTGCGAGCAGTCAGTCACGAGAACTGGTACCGTCCGCAATCTGGGAGACGCACAAGGCCACCATTCGGATGCTGTATTTGGAAGAGCGCAAGCCGCTGAAAGATGTCATCCGCATCATGCATGAGCGTCATGCCTTCCAGGCAACGTCAGTCTTCTTTTTACTGCAGTCCCGTGGTATACTGACCCGACTCAGGCCCAAGATGTACAAGACAAGATTTTCTCAGTGGGGTTTCGCTAAGAACAACACCGAGAACGAAGTCAAACACCTCCTTTCGATGAAGTTTGAAAGAGACGCAGAGGGAAAGGTCTCCGAATTCATCCGTAATGGTAAGGTAGTGAACCTGGCAACCTACCTTAAACGGAAAGGCGTTACCGAGTATGACCTTGTCGATTTTGAGACGACATCGCGGCTGCCTGCACACGTTCGGTGCCGTACGCCATCGCCACCGCCATCTCTATCTCCCGGCTATCTAAGGTCACCCGACCTCATACGGGCGCAAGAGATCCTCGTGGGCCATATGCGGAAGACTCTGATCCATTGCCAACAAATAGAATCCAGATATCCCCTCAAGAATGGATGGAGCTCCCTGCTCTTATGGGGTGCCGAGTCGAGTGGCATGCTTTATCAAGCCGGCAAGCTCTTCGGGAGGAGTCAAGACAGCCAGGCCGGCGACCTACTTATGCGAGCGTTTCAGCGTCTTGAGGTTGACCTCCAGCATCTATCAACGCAGGGCACTAAAGAGCTGCTCTTCTGTTTGTCACATCAAAATCCGGGCATGACGATAGCCCTATCCAAGTATCTCGCCGCATACTCAATGACGAACTTTGCACGGCTACACCCGCTACGTGTCATCTTCTCTAGCCTATACGAGGTACTTTGGAAACATGGGCCTGCCGCCTTATCTGATCTGGTATGGAGCGCGATGCCTACGCTAGCTGAAGAACTCGAGACTATTCATGGACAGCATTCCCCCCTAGCCGTTCGGACCTGGATCGACCTATGCATCCTATACAACCATTCCAACCCGTATCGCCTATCCAACCTCTACGCCGATTTGGGACGCCTGAACCAAGATGACCGCAGCGCAGTGCAGGAGGAGTTCATAGGCTTCAGCTATGCGCGACTCCAGCTGGCTGCCTCCATAGATGTCAACGGCATCGCCCATCGCGCGCAGCTCGTAGAGCTCTGGAACTATTGCGTCGCCGATAATATCGTGTTTGGCGTGCACGGTCAGCCTGAGGTCTACTGCTGGCACCCCGTGTTGCAGGTTCAGCCGACAGTTTCACGCATGCTGGAGCGGTACCGAGTGACCATGAAGCATGTTGAGGACATCTTCGGCTGCAAGATGATCTGCGGCTACCCCCTCGAGCCTCACCCCACCATCCACGCCGATGAGACAGATCCGCCCGAGAACTACCGTTTCCTGAAGATACCGATCTCTCTGAGTGATTTGCGGCCGATGGCGTCGCCTGCTTCTTCCGGCAAGATCCTGGAGGAATTGCAAACGTGAGCTTTCCAGCTCTACTCGTGTCTTGCGGATGCGGACGCGGATGCAGACGTGGATGCGGACAACGGTTGCAATCGCCTTTAGCGGACGAACTCGCGGTCGTGTATTGCGCTCGCTTTGCTTGTCCCTTTCGGCGCCCACCAGCATCCCCAACGGGATGGCCACAATCAAATTACATGCTGGGCAGTTAGGTGGCGCTATCGTCGACACAGGTGCCGTCTCACTTCCGAGCGACATGATGCGGCTCATCGTGGCAGCATATCTCGCGTCCCATCAAGTTTTCCAGAATAATGGCGCATCCACCCGGCCTTCCCAACGATCCCCCAAATATCCTGGGTGCTTCTACCAATGCGCTGTGGGATCGAGCTGTGGACTCTGTGGTTCGTAACTGAAAGGCTGATGCACTCTGTCTGAGTCTTGTCATCCATACACCCAGCATTCTTTTGGTACTCGAGGCGCTCGTCGGCCTCGTCGAAAGTGCGTGGCCATCGAGATCAGAAAGAGATTGAGCGGATGGGAAGCGGCCGCCAGCAATGAGCAGAAGAGCAGAAGAGCAACGATTACTTGCAGGGGACCCAGGACGGGATCCCTTGGCCATTTGTCGATCATTCTGATATGAAGATGAACATGGGACAAACGTCGAATACGGCATAGGAGGGAATATTGAAGAGTGCCCTGCCACAACAAGAGCCATTGAATCGCATGATATGGCCGTGGCCGCGGGGACTGGTGATCTCGTCTCTCAAAAGCTTTATTCAAGGTGTTATATTGAGATGCCCTCTCCCCCAGGGAGAGTACGAGAACACTATTTCTATGCCACTCCTCCTAGTCGTGTTGCTGGTGGAATACCTGGCTGGTGATCACAAAATCGTGATCACCAACCCATGATTACGGCACAACGTCACGAGACCGTCCTATCAGCTAGGCTCGTAACACCTAGTAGTATGAGTCTTGGGTAGCGACGTAGAGGTTTAATGCTGTGATCTTTATAAATTGATCATTTGATGCTGAGATGATGTTTCGCTTGCTTTCATTTTCCTCCGGAGATAGCTTCCGGTTCTCCCCGCCAGAGCCAACCCACGACCATTAAAGCAGAGTGGTCGGTTCTTTAACGCCCTGATCAATGGAAACATGCAAGCGCGACCAGGCAGGTGCATTCTTAGCGAGGATTCAGGCCCAAAACATTCGGCTGTCAGGCATCAACTCAGACGGTTCATGAACTGACGCGAACTTGCCGTTAGCCTTTAGACACAGGACACTCATGCGACATTGCCAAAACCAGCACTTTATGATCTAGCCCAATTCTGCCCTTCCAAGTATCCTGGCGGACTTGGACTTTCGTCTTGGTAGGTTGGTAGTCTCTCCGCAACCCAACCTGGAGCAGTACTCTGATCATCGGCCATGGCCACCCGATAGGTCAGCCTTAGGATTTTCCCAACGCCCGTTCGGATTGCTAAATGAAGTTGTCCCCGCGGGAAGTGCTCTTTGACAAGCACAAGCTCGATAACTAGTGCATGGGTCACCTCGGTACCGTCAATGCTCTTCGTATCGTGGTTGTACGCCGGTTCGGGGACGTTGGAGCGTTGGCAGATGTCGAAACCAAACTCCACTTCGGCACTTCCCTCAGCATCGCATTCTTTCCACGCATCATACACGCCGTTTTCGCCAAGCGTTCGGGATGTCCTGCGGACAAGGTCTTGGCTTCCGCTCTCGGGGACTGAGCATCGGTGCCGCTCGCAGGGGATTGCAATGGCTTTAATGGTCTCCTCTAGCCTCCAAGCCCCCTTCCATAACCGCCAGATATAGTCGTTGTCGCCATTTTTCGGAGAGACGAGGAGGCCCGTCAACAAAAGACAAACGTTGTTGGCGCCGGCAGGGCGGATAATAGGTTCGATGGAACTTTTGACGCGTATACCTGAGGCGGGGAAATTGCGAGTCGCTTGTAGAGGCCAATGTTGTATGGAAATATGGCGCCTGACAGTCAGGGTTCGCTTGAAGGACACAGTTCGTGGCATGCTAGTCGGTATAGTTTGAGACTTGTAGTGGACTTCGGCGTGAAATTCGAAGGCAACGGAGAGTAGAGGTGACTTCATCGAGGCTGGTAGGTGATCTGGTATCAGGGTGGAAAATGGAAATGTTTGAATGCCGCTCTGTAGGACGGTACTTTGGTTCAGAAAAGGCCAGTAATGAATTGCAAAATACTGGTCCTTGCACTTCGCGCAGTAATTTTTGACCGGCTTCTTCTGGACAGTATGGACATTGAGAACAGCGGTAAAACGATTGATCTCCACCGGGGGTCCTTTGATGTTCAGGGAAAGCTTTCCGGACAAAAATGATGGTGGGCTGTTCAGACCGGTTCCGAGGACGATGTTTGGCGAGCTCTCGATGTCCCAGTCCAGCGAGACTGCCGAGGCTATGCGAGGCCTGGATAGATTGGTCAAAGAAAGGCTTCGAAGTGGACTCATAAGATCAGCCAGGTCAGGCATATCTTTTGGGCGTTGACAAGATGTGCTCAACATGGACCTAGTGAATTGTACCCCCGAATTTGTCACATGTAGAGTCTTTCTCGACCTGTCTCTGAAATGCGATGAGGTGGCGTGGAAGTAGTATTGCGGGATATCGGGGCGTCTTCCAAAGTAAGTAGCGATGACTGCTTGCGAGAGTCTGACTTACGGTATTATATTCAAGGCTGAGGTGATCAGCAATAGAGAGAACCTCTTCTGAGGACAGCTGGTACCTCATCCTGAGGTCACACCCCCAATCCTAGAGTCACTGCACCGGGCCAACCTGAGCAGAGCTGGGGAAGCCTCGTGTCGGAAGAAGACGCTCCAGTAGGCCTAGTGTCATTTGTTGTTCTTCCCCATTTGTGAATTTCTTTGCAGCTTAGGTATCTATAGGAAGCCTGGGGAAGGATTTCGTCCCCTGGCGTTCTAGAATGTGGGCCCAGTGGGAACTTGGCGGACTAAGACACTTGCTCGCCCAAAAAAGACTCGTCAGTCGATAGAGTTTATGCACGGCATGTGTCTTGGCTGCCTATTAGAGCTTTGGATTGAGACAAGCATTTAGCAGCAGAATAGCACAAGATTTCAAGATGATTCAGCAGCCTAACATTCAATGTATATTCTTGAGAACTTCCATTTTCTCAACAGCGATGCTCTATAGATCATTAGATTCTGCATACTACCACAAACAAGTCTTTCATACTTCTACACATCCAAAATGCCACCAGTGGTTCATTGTGTCCGCCACGGACAGGGCTTTCACAACGTCGGTGGCGGATGCTACACTCTTCCTGACCCTCACTTGACGCCCCTGGGTGAAGAACAGAGCAAGGCTTTGGGCAGAACAGTCTTCGCTGACCAGTCAAAGATATCTCTTGTTCTGGCTTCTCCGCTTTGCCGAACACTCCAATCTGCCTATTTGGTGTTTCAATCGGCCCTCACATCCAGCAGCAAGTGTCATCCCGAGATTATTGCAATCCCTGATGCTCAAGAAACCTCGGATGACGCGTGCGACGTTGGAACCAATCCATCAGTTCTCCGCAGAGTGGTAGCCGAGAGCAAGTTGCCTGTCAACCTCTCTCTCGTCAAGGAGGGCTGGAACGTGAAAGCTTTAGGAACTCGTTACAGCCCAGAAAGTAACGCCATAGCAGCCCGCGCACGGGACGCCCGCATTTTCATCCGAGAGAAAATCCGCCAATTGATCAAACAAGGCGATACAGAGCCCCAAATTGCGCTTGTGGCGCACGGGGGTTTCCTGCACTACTTCACCGAGGATTGGGAGGACTCATGGCTGAACCCTGGGACAGGATGGCGCAACTGCGAAGCTCGGTCGTACGTATTCAAGGAGGACGTCATGAACGATGCAGATGTCGAGGTCAGGCTCACAGAGACGATGGAAAGTCGGTTGGCGAGGGGAAAGGGGAGTCCTATGCCGTCTGTGGAAGAACAGGAGGTCCTGTTTGAGCAGGCGATGGAGAACTGGGAAAGCCAAGGGCTGCAAAGACCCGACAGAATCGGACTGGGCCTCATGACGAGCGTCATGGCATGTACATGATTTGTTGATAGGCAATCTCCGGCATATTCCCGAATGGCCTGTCTGATGATTTCGCTGCTGATCGCCTTAGTGTTGAACAGATCTTCCTCCACGTTTGATCTGAGCTGAGTGCCATCCATTGCAGAAAGTCCTGGAACATTCTTGAGGCATTTATCGCCTTACGCCAGTCAGCAACGTTTGTTGGCTGCATCCTGTCAACTCCGCAGAAAAATAATTATCTCGCGTACGAGTTCCTGCGGGTATACTGTCCAGCTACATGAGCCTTTCCTTTTCATCAACGTGGCTACGAACATCGCGATCCACAGACGGCCGCGATGGATCACATCAGTCTTTCACCGGCCAATGAAGAGCGATTAGCTGACAAAAAACGGCTGGTAGATGCCAGATATGGGTCTCAACTTGGACCTTAACGCATCTCGACGAACCTTGAACTGTCCAGGAGGCTGAGAGATCGATCATCACTAACCCTAAATAGGCAGCCAAGACGCAAGTGGTGCATTAGCGCCGTGTCAACAGCAACGTCAAAGTCGAGCAAGCAATAGTGCTGACCCATCATCCAATTCGTTGAAGGTATGTGATGATATGGAGACTCTGAGTTTTGTTGCGCGTTGATACTCGCCTGGCAAGGTGTGGATGACGAACACGAGCCTTCAATCGTCCGAAAATTCACACTTCCAGATACTCTGATTACAAATGTAGCAACCATTTCACCAAAGATGAATAAGATGCCTTCCATGTGATGCTTATGGCCCGGTCTCGAATTGTTACATGTCTCTTCATATTCATTAGCCGATACTTGATAGGCAATGGCACACCTGTCGTCGCCTTCATCACCGCCCCAGCGAACCACCAGCGACACCTCAGCGACACCGACTATGCTTTCGAGGGATTGTAGCCCCAAGGCTCCCGACGAAGGACTTTCTCCTTTGCCAGACGACAATGCTTCGCTCAATGTCGATGGCAATGCCGAAGCCATACCCACCGTTGACGAGTCGCTCCAAGCACGAATTGAACGCCTGGGCCGTGAACGGCCTCCAATCTTTCCAACCCGCTGGAGCGAAATAATCTTCGTCTTCAGCATCTCTATGTCTCAATTCTTGACAGAATACTTCGTCTCGGGTTTCACTGTCATCCTTCCAACACTGATCACGGAGCTCAATATCCCGCAAGCAGCCAGTGTGTGGCCAGCAACCGCGTTCTCCCTCGTCATCGCCAGCACCTTGCTCGTGTTTGGCCGTCTGGGTGATATGTGGGGAGGATATCCCGTCTTCGTGGCGGGCCTCGCCTGGCTTCTTGTCTGGAGTATAATAGCCGGGTTCAGCATCAATCCGCTGATGCTCGACCTCTGTCGGGCCCTTCAGGGGTTAGGAGCTGCGGCAGCCCTGCCGACCGGAGTCATGCTCATGGGATCGTTGTATCGTCCCGGACCACGAAAGAATCTCGTCTTCGCAGTATACGGCACTTCAGCCGTATTTGGGTTCTTCGGTGGCATCCTCATGGCAGGCATTGTTGGTCAATTCACGCGCTGGGGCTTCTACTTCTGGATCGGCGCCATCCTGACGGCAATCACGCTGGTGACTTCAATCTTGTCCATTCCGCGTCCTCATTCGAAAGACCGAGCCCCAAGCCTGGCCAAGATGGACTACCCCGGCGCCGTCACGATCGTCTGCGGCCTCGTCCTCGTCGTATTTTCTATCTTGCAATCAGCACACGCCCCTGCAGGCTGGAGAGCACCATACATTCCCGTCTGTCTCGCGCTTGGTGTCTTGTCACTAGGTGCTGCAGCCTACATCGAAACGCGCGTCGCTGCGCAGCCTCTCCTGCCAGCTTCCATCTTCACGACACCCTGCATGAGCCCTCTCCTTTTGGCCCTCTTCCTGCTTTACGGCACGTGGGGTGTCTTTTCTGTCTACGGCACACTCTATTTCCAGAACATCATGTCAGCGAGCCCGTTGCAGGTGGTGGCGTGGTACGTGCCTCTCGGAGTCGCAGGCCTCATCATCAGCGTCGTCGAAGGCTTCATCCTGCATCTGGTTCCAGGACGAGTGCTGTTGATCATCGCCGGCCTGGGCGCCGTAGGGTCACAGCTTCTCATTGCCATGATTCCGCTCGGAGGGAGTTACTGGGCGTGGATCTTCCCTGCCGTCATTTTCAGCACCGTGGGGATCGATCTGCCCACGATCCTGGCGACAGTCTTCGTGACCACGACGTTTCCCACGTCACAGCAGGGGCTGGCGGGGAGCGTCATCAACTCTGTGCTGCAGCTGGGTGTGGCCTTCGTCCTTGCTTTGACGGACGTCATCCAGGCGGCAACAGTAGATGAGGTAGGATTGAGGCAGAGTTATAAGAACACCTTCTGGTTCGGAGTGGGTGCTGCAGCTGCGAGTCTGTTGATTCTGGCCATCTGGGGGAAGGTTCCAAAGGCCAGTAGTGATTTGACTGCGGATGAGAAGGCTGAACTTTTGGAGGAGGCGATGACTGAGCAGCGAAGGCAATCAGTCAGGGGGGGCTGTACTCTGAGCGATGCGTGATTCTACATGCAGACCTCTGCTCACGAATTGGTGCCAGAAAACGTGGTCTTCAAGAGGATATTTCCCCGAGAATCGCTCTCATGATTGTAGTAGCTATCTGCCTAGTCCCGGTCAGTGGGCATTGGATATCTACCACTACCTTGATGGGTTATCTGGGGTGGCCTAACAATCATGCAACCAACCAGTCGGTGCCTACACTTTTCAGCTTCTCGACCCAGTTCCAATTCTCTTCCTGTAGATCGAGCATGTTATTTCCGCTCTCGGTAGTATTCTCATTCTTTCTCTCATCCCAAATTGTCGTCAATGCTCCGAGGGCCTCTCTGGTGAGTCCCCAAGCCTCCAGCTCCCAGAGCTCCTGGAACCTTCTCACCACCCAAGCACGGTTGGTGAGGTCAGCCGTTTCCAGGCCAGCAATGAAAGCCGGCCACGCCGTTGCTGTGAATAATGCATCTCTGGGTTGCATACATGAAAGGTGGACGATGATTTCGGCTGCTAGGGTTTCCAAATCATCCGGCAACGCTGTGCTGGGCCATAGAGCAAGAATGATACGCGACAGATAGACACACACAGCTGCCTTGTGTGCAGAGGCAATTTCAGTCCGATGGAAGAGATCGTCGGCCGGTGAGCGTGGCTGGAGATTGATGGCCCAAACAGCGGGGTCGAATGACTTTGCAGCATGTAAGAGATGAAAGGCACCGTATCGTCGCGAATCGGCCAAGGTATCCGGAGACGTAAAGTCTTCGTTCATCTTTAAGAGCTGAGCCCCTGCCTGCATGACAGAAAGGAGGGCTGCCGGAAATGACGAGCAATGATTGCCTTCTGCATCCTGAAGCAGTGACATGGTAGTCGTCGATAACCCACCGCTGTGTGGTAGATAAGAATTTGCGAATGATGACCCAAGAAGATCATACCTAGTCGATGTCAAGTCACGGGCCATCAGGTTTCTGGACACAGGACGACTTACACCAAGCAATTTGACATCAACCATCGGCGGAGCGGGCTCAAAGTCGTCTCGGTTGCTACGGCAGACGCGACCAGCTTCTCAATGATTGTCCTCGCACCATTGATGTGGAATATCCAGCTGCCTCGCCCGGAGTCAATGAGCTCGAACCCAATAAGGAGAAGCACTGACGCGAGAATCGCGTCAACATCCGCCGGAGCCATGGTTTCGAGAGCAGACTTCAACAGCAAAAGTGCCTGTTGCTTGGCGCTGAGCGCGTCATGAAGAATCTCCGGGCGAGATGCTAGACATGGACCGATCGATCGAGAGCTCGGCGACCTCGTGCTGCTTTGAGGAGGCGAGTCTGTCGATGCAGAGATACTTGAAGACCTTGATAACTGTCGACACGCGTTCGACATGCGCAACGCTGAGGTAGCGGTGATCGCCTGGAACAAGATGGGTTTCTGGTACGCCATTGGAACCAGGTCGCGGAACGGATTGTGTTGGGGGGTGTCATAAAGAACGAGATCTTTGCAAACAACACGTGCAACTTTTGCTGACATTAGTATGGAGAGAAGTCAGGGAAGAGAAGCCAGGCGGGAGAGGCGGCCTACAATAGTCAAGATATGTCCTCGACCGAAAGTCTAGGTCTTGCGCGGACGGGTCTTCTAATGAACGAGGAAGCGAACGAGGAGGGTTCGAGTGAGAGCTCGCTGATGGGGCCTGCTCTGTAGACAAGATTGCAGGCGATGGCGCTGGTAGACTCGACGTCGCGGTTGCCTTCTGGATCTTTAACATGCTGTCGGATGTCACGCCGACCATTTTCCCACGACTCGCCATGCCCTTCTCCCACCGCAACAGGGTGCCATAGCCTAAGCAAGTGTGACCAGCCTTGGTGCATTTCAGGCAGTGCGGAAGAGATCGGTCACATCTCAATCGGCTGCGCCTACAGTTGTGGCATGCTCCTGGCCTTGCACTCATGGCTAGGTTGAAACCTGGAAGGGACAAGACCTGATAGTCCTTGCGAGGAAAGGGGGTTCCTAGAGATTGCTGCTATCGGTACGATTAATATGGCACAAGGGCCTGGGAGCAGTGAAGATGGCGTAGGTAGGCAGTCGGCGTAGAGGCTGCAGAGGTGAGGTGGAGGGACGATACGAGACAGCCGCATGCGGGTGCTGCAGGCTTATTGAGTAGGCGGTGGGCAGACGTATTATCGTCGTGACGAAGGTGTAGGGCTCCGGCTTGCAGGTAGTAAGGGCTTTTAAGAGCGTGGGTCTTTGAGAAGATGATGTCGTCGATAGCCTGTCTTGAATGACGGTCACCTAGCAGAGACGGGGGAGCGACGTACTCACCTGGTGCTGTACTTAAGGTACCAGGTACACCACCAGGTAGGGGAAACGGTGTATGCAGGTATACAGATGTACCCTATTAAGCTAGATTTGCGACTAAGCGAATCTGAACACACTTTGCTTGTCTTTCACGACAGCACAGTCATCTGAATTCCTTTACCTGAGGTGTACCTACTGGTAGGTAGAGGTAGGTAAGGTACTGTCACCACGGAATTGAACAAAGTGGATTGATTGTTGTTAAGGTACAAAAGGAGACTTCCAGAAGTCCAAACGAAGGTAATTGGTCAGATCCAGCATCGGTAAGGAGTCTTACCGGGGCGATAACGACAGAACAAATGCATCAAATGAGGACTCCACATTTGGGATGAAAGTACTCCTGGGTCACAGAACAGAACCTTGCCTGATCGGCAACACACCCCCTCAGATGGGTAGGCGAGCCTCTCTCTGACCATCTGAACCACGAAAGATCAGGCAGATGCCTGTTGGCGGCTTTTGGTAGAGAATTTGGTGCCTTTGGAACAGTTGGCGTTCTCAGGGCAGATGAAGGAAATCGTGCTTGTGAAGCAAATAAGGATGTGTGTAAGTGTTAGGAGAGGTGGGCGAAATTGAGCAAGCTGTTCACTGGTGGACCGCTGGTACGCACTCCATCTGCAGAAGCTTCACGAAGTTCTGATGCTTCTGAGTCGGGAGAATCTTTGTAAGCCCATCGCTCACTATCTTGTCAGTGCTCATCCAGTCCACGGATATCTTCCCCTGTCTGACTGTTTGTCGGATCCAAAGACGATGGATGTCAACATGCTTGAGCTTCGTAGTGGCTTGAGGCCTCTCACTAGTGAGTAACAGCAGCGTTTGGCGGTTATCACAGAACATCTGGATCGGAACCTTGCCATGAAAACGTAGCTGAAGCTCCTTGATCAGACGAAGAGTGGCAAGGTAGTTCCTCGCTGCGACACTGAGGGCCACCAGCTCAGCTTCGGTGCTAGAAGTGACCACGGATCGCTGCTTTGTAGCTTTCCAGTCAATTGGACCTCCAAAGAGCATGGTGGTGTATCCTTGTGAGCTAAATCTGGTGATGGGATCATCGCCGAATGATGCGTCGCTCGCACAATACAGCGATGTAGAATGGTCTCCTGATCCTCCGTAGGACAGCGAGAGAGTCCTTGTGCGATAGAGGTAGCGGAGACAGTGGTCTGCTGCAAGGTGATGGAGTTCTGTCGGCCTGAGCAGAGACTCCGCAAGTCTTGAGGCAGCTTTGGCCACATCAGGTCGTGTTGTGGTTGCTGCGTAATTGATGGAACCAATTTTGCGTTGGTATAGTTGAATGGATTCAGCAGAGGCTTCGTAATCCTTTGGAGCAGGTGCTGGGTCTGTTGATAGAGGCGTCAAATGACCTCTGGTGGATGGCTGGAGGTTGAGGTCCTTCATCTTTTCAGTGATGTAGTTCTCCAGAGACAGCCAGAGCTTGCGCTGGCTACGATCTCTGACCACTCTGATGCCTAAGAACCATCTGACCTCGCCAAGTTCTCGCATCTCGAACAGAGACTTGAGCTGGCTCTTCAGCTCTTCGGCCGCTTGGCGATCCTCTTTGCGGTTCATGAGGATGATGTCGTCAACGTAGAAGAACATGATCATGCCTCTGCCCATGAAGACACAGTTATCTTCCTCGAGAGCCACGAGGCCGATCTTCCGCATAGCCTCGGACAGCAGCTTGTGCCAGAGAAGCGGTGATCGGCGCAAACCGTACAAAGCTCTCTTCAGCTTGAAAATCGTGCGCCTCTGTGGAGCGCCCTTCTTCTGTTGCATCTCCTGCATGAGATCCCAGCCCTGAGGGGCCCAGACGTAGACTGTCTCGTCGAGGTGTGCATTTGGAAAGGCGTTGACGGCATCCAACTGGTGCGTGTCTAGGTCAAACTCTGCACAGATGGCCATCAACGTTCTGAACGTCTTGGCTGCCAGTGTCGACGCGTATGTTTCCATCTCATTCTTGGGCTGTTGGTCTCCTCGTACGCAGAGCCTGGCCTTGAACTTGGTCACGTAGCCGGTGGAGTCAACCTTGTATTTCCAGACCCAGGTCAACCCGAGAACCTTGTGTATTTCCTGGTCGACCGATTCGAAGGGGACTTGCTCGATTGTGTCCATATTTTCAATGGTGTTGACCTCCTGGACGCTTGCTTCTAGCCACTGCTTTTTGTGATCAGAATGAAGCATCTCCTTCCAGGATCTTGGCTCCGCGGGCATATCTGTTCGGAGAAGCGGTTTCTTGTTCGATGGAGTCTGAGTGTGAAAGAATGAGTATTCCACGGTCAAATGTGATGATGGAGGCATTTTCTTGCTGCGGCGGGCTCCTAGAGCCTGGTCGGTGGGGGTGCCGTCTTTGAACTGTGACGGCTTTCTGTCTCTAGCGCTCCTTCGAGTGCCTTGGATTTGTGTTGATGGCGACGGCTGTGGGGCTGGTGCCACTGATGGTCGGGCCTCCACAGTCTCTGTCTCGTCTTCAGCTGAACTTTGATCAGCTGGTGTGTGTTGAGGTGTTGATTCAGGGCTCCGAGCTACTTCGATAGTGTCTTCAATAGCCTCTTCAGTCACTTGAATGGTGTCTGGCACGGGGATCGTGTCTTCCACAGCATCTTCAGCCCCTTGAATGGTGTCTATTACGGCATCTTCCACCCCCTCAGAGACAGCTGGCTGGCCTTGTCCAGTCTCCGTCTCTGGAGTTGGACGTGGTGACGGCAGGACATCATCTCTGCTGGCTGTGTGACCTTCCCGGGGTCGCAGTATCTCCGCGTTGATCTTTCCTCCAAGTTGGAATGTCCGGGCTTTCTCGAACAGGTCGATGGTGGCAACATCGAACTCGTCAATGTCCAGTGACGAGTTGAAAGGATTCTGGGCGTCCGCAACGGGCACGTCCAAAGCCTGGAATTCGTCCTGTAGAATTGGCTTTGGGGATTGGGCGTCCTTGAAAACTGTGGACTCATCGAAACCCACGTCTCTTGTCCTCAATACTGCTTTCATCTCTGGAACCCAGATTCTGTATATGTTGCTGCTGTCGTATCCACAGAGATAGCCGATGTGGGCTCTCGGAGCCAGCTTCTGCTTTCGGTTACGTCCCTCTTGGGCGTCTGCCGTGAGAGGATACGCCCTGCATCCGTATCTTCGCAGGTGAGCCAGGCCTGGAGCCGTAGTTCGAGCGGCAAGGCCCTTGGAGTTGAGCCAGTCGTTCAGCCTTCCTTCTGGTGTCGCCCACTGTAGGCGTCCCTTCGGCGTGAGATTGTGGAGATATGCAGCGGTTTGTACCACCTCTGGCCACAAATCCTCCGGGAACCCAGCAGCCGAGGTAAGGGTTCTTGCGATGGTGAATATCGTGCCTCCATTGCGTTCTGCGGCACCGTTCTGTTCTGGTGTCCTTGCGGCTGATCTCTCCAAGAGAATGCCGCGCTCTTCTGACCAAGTAACCAGATTGCTGCGTAGTGCTGAGTCCCAGTCAACTCTCAGGACCTTGATGACCAGATGGTACTGTCTCCAGAGAAACATCTCAAAGTTGATAAACGCCTGGAAGCCATCTGCTCTGGCAGGCAGAATCCTGACAACAATCTTCCCCGAATATGCGTCCGTTATTACAAGGCACGACTCCATGCCGTTGTACGACTTCCCAGGGCTGAAGAAGTCCAGGTTGACGCGCTCAAATGGATTCGTCGTCGTGTACGTTGGCTGTCTCCGAGATACAATCTTCTTGGATTTCGCTACCCCGCAAGACTCGCATTCGAATGTTGTTGGCCCTTTCACCCCAACTCCAGTACAGCTGTATGGCAGCTGCTGTATGGCCTCTGGGTGGGCATGAGCCAGCCGTTCGTGCCAGAGCCTCGAGTCGCTGACCA